TTTGTCGGGTCGGGGCGTTACGCGTCCCTGATAGCCTAGCCGAACTGGGTTATTCAGGGGGTCAATTTTGGTCGAGTTTCCCGCTTTTGTCTCCTAAAGTCGTTTTCCTGGCTCAGGCGGGAATGTTATGCCTCTTGGCTTTATTCGTGCCTCATCATCGCCAGGAAACGAGTGAATAAAAGAGGGAGGGCGAGATTTTGTTTCGAAGTTATAGTTTCGTGCGCGACTCTGTTCACAACATCCTCGGTGGAGTGTCAATTATTTATTTAATTTACTACCCTACGTCCATGCGCCACGGACCGAACAGAATTAGTTTAGATACGTCTTTATTATTTAAAATAATACAATGCGTTTCGGGCGAGTGGACTAGTTCAAAGCCCCGTGAGAGAGTAGGAATATGGAAAGGTGCAAACGAACATACAGAGTAGGGTGGAGAAGGATCGCTAACAGGAAGAGTAAGATACGAGATACACACACACACACAGAGACAGGTTGAGCACACAAAGACTTATTTCAAATAGATTAAGCCTAACTAAAAACTAACTTATTCCCAGATTTTCCGGGATAGCTTAGGTTTAACTTATAAATTACTTATTTCCGGTGTGCCCGAAGTAATTAAAGCTAACTTATAAATAACTTATTTCCTGGTTTTCCGGAATAGATTAAATCTAGCTAATAACTAACTTATTTCCGGGTTTTCCGGAATAGGTTAAAGCTAACTTATAACTAACTTATTTCCGGTGTGCCCGAAGTAATAGAGAAAGAAGAAAAGCTACTTAGCAAACTACAGCTAACCAAAGCAGTTAGCTGCACACAAACAACACATACAACACACAGATCACTCAATTAGCAACAGTCCAGGAACCAAGGAAATGGTGAAGAATGGAAATAGAAGTTGGGGCTTAACTGTCTAATGTCACGGCTAATTAAAATTCCCAAAGCCAATCAGTTTTCCCAAAGTATCTTAGTTAAGCATTGATAGTCAAAGGTTAAGCAAAGGTTAAGCGTTATGCTAAGATTTGAAGCAATTTCGAAGGTTAGTGTGTTAGTAGCGGAATCGTATCGTAAGGTGGAATATTTTAATGCCTTGTTCAACACCTCAATAATTAGTAGAAGGCTAAATGAATAATTAATAATGAAGTGGTAAATATAGTAAAGAATAGTAAAGCAACTACATAGAACATTAACAGTTAATAGCGGCTAAGCAACGACATAGAACAGAACTACTGTGCACTGGTTCTAGTATAAAAGACGATGAATAATGGTTGCTGCAGCATAGTATAACAATGGTTAGTACAGTTCTGAAATATGTACAAACAAATGAAAGCGTGTTAGTTAGTAAAGAAGCCAACCAATTATTAAAATCACTCTAATAAATCAACTATTTACTCTTATTCCCATGGATAAAATATCTCACAGCTGAAGTGCTGCTATAGTAATTAAGCTAAACATTGACTAACAACTAAACACCACACATTATATTTAAGTAACACCGTGTTCTCACGGACCTACGCGATAAACAAAATAAACAAAAACACACGAATATGAAAAGACACCTTGCGTGACCGGAACCGATCGAACTTGAATAGATTTAAACAATACAAATAAAACAACACAATTAAAACAGAAAGGAATTATAACCGGACAGATCTCGTTCTGACCGTTACTTCTTTGAACTCACGGTCTATAAATTATGTATCGAACGAAATTCAGACATTCCACAAATCAAAGCTGATCGTTATATATTTACAAAGTTATTTTAACAAAACAGATAACACTCTATGTTATAGTAGAACGATAGGAATAATCACAAGTTTAAATAAAGTGATCTCTGCTAATTATTCAACTTAATTTAAGACTAAACTTTCCGCGGACGTTTGACTTAAATAGCATAATCGATTAACAGTGAATAAACGATAGGCGTAATAACAGCGATAGCGAGTGAGGTCGAGTTATCCTAGGCGCCCTAGGTACAACGATGGCGAATGTTGTCCACTTACTTGGCGTGAGCGAGAGTGTAGGGTCGGGCGTCCTTCTTCTGCCTAATTGCTCAGGCCACTGCTCCTGCTGACTGTCGACTCTCGCCGACTCCAACTCACTGACCCTCCGAGCGCCGCGCACATCCAGCGCTGTGGTTCCTGCGCAGGCGCGGGCGACTGATGCGCGGCCCGGTGGTACGGCGGTGAACCACAAGATCAGCTGTTGCTGAACTTGTGTCATCTGCTAATTTGTTTTGTTTACATCTTTGAACTTAACTTCGGCGAATTGGCGAGGCGATTCTGCTAGTAAGGGTTTAGTTTTATTATAAATATTCACTAATCTTATGAACCCTTACAGAATCTCTTGAAAAATACAAAAAAGAATTTACCAAATTGCTGCTTAATAAAGGGCATTACAAAGTCAATGATTTTTTAAATGATGTATATATTTGATTTCTTAGCATATTGTATGGTTATTATAGTTTTATGTATTTTAATTGTCATACCTGTTTCCCAGCTATGCTGGATCTGTAAAACGTTGTGTGAAAATAAATGATTCCACTTGACTAATACGCTACATGAAACTTTGTGAACAACAAGGCTTTTTTGTTTTTAGATTTAACCCCACATATTATATACCAAAACGTTTGTCTAGGTGTGCAAACTGACCTTAAATTCTTAAAAATCCCTTGAGCTCTGTCCCAGTGGCTTTTAAAGTTCTTATGTCATCCTTATGAAGAACATATTTGTTTACATTATGATCAGCTGGATAATTTAATTGCTGTTAATATTTTAGTTGAAATTTAAGGAAACAAGTGCTACAAACATTTACTTACTTGGTTGAAATGAAAAATTTACTATTTGAATTTGGGTTGGTCTAAATATTACAACGGAAAAAAGCCAGAAAGCCTGGACAATTTGATATACTAAAAATAAAACTGAATTAACACTGTGCTGCATTTCTTAAGCAATCATTGAAAGAGCCGATTTGCAAAATATGGAAACATAGGAAAGTCATAGAACACCACTAAGTAGAAGAATTTAAAATATTGTTTTTTTTTTTTAAATTTATGATCGATGATCGTTATTATGGACAACCTAATGCGGCTATGAGTGGGACATATTAGTAGAAAACACTAAAAAACAAGATCAGCTTTTGAAAAATGATATGATATTTAAAAGAAATGTTGATTATATCGATCTGTTATATGCATCGTGGGTATTTCCATAATTTTTTGAGCTGACTATTTTAAAGTCATCAGAAATTATTACTGTTATTCATTTTAAATAACACCTATAATACTTTGCAATTGATCGAATTCAAGCAACAGGTAAGTCAGATTTAATCAGTTTTCGTATTTAATGCCTAAAGAATCAGTGTACCAAATTTCAGCCTCCTAGGTAAATGGGAAGTAGAAGAATTAGAGATGAGTGAGTGTGTGAGTGAGTGAGTGAGTCAGTCAGTGAGTCAGTCAGCTTTGCATTTTATATGTTTAGATTTGGAATAACTAATTACTAGTGTACCTGTTGCTCGAATTCGAGCAATTGCGAAGCATTACAGGCGTTATTTTAAAACGAATAACAGTCATAATTTCCGATGACTTTATAAGAGTCGACTCAAAGATTATGGAAATACTCAAGATGTACACAGCAGTTAGATATAATCAAAATTTTTTGTAAATATCTTATCTTTTTTCAAAAGCTGACCTTGTTTTTTAGTGTTTTCTACAAATTTTCCCCACTCATAGCCGCATTAGATTGTCTATAATAACGATTATAAATGAAAAAAAAAACATTATTTCTATTTCTTCTACTGTACTTGGTTGTGTTCTATGACTTTCCTGTTTCCATTGTTTGCAAATCGGCTCTTTCAAATATTGCTCAAGAAATTTAACACAGTGTTAATTCAGTTTTATTTTTAGTATATCAAATTGTCTAGTATTTCTCACTTTTTTCCATTGTAATTTTAAAAATTACACCAACCAAGTATTGTCTACTACAGATGCAATAGGCCTACGCCAAAGAATATCGTCTAAGTGCAATCTCCAAGAAGTGGTAAAAAAGGCAGAAACCAACCCATACAATAGATATTATATAATATAAGTTAACTCCATAAGAAATAATTTTAAGAGTTACTGTGATATTAGGATTTCCCACTGATTTGGTAATAGAACATTATATTGCAAAACATGGCACGATTCAGAAGAAAATCTATTTTAAAATCAGAAAAAACCCATTGCAAATACTTCATTTTGACAAATTTAGTAAATCACAATTTAAATATTAACAACTGTTTCATTCAAAAGTAGGTAGTGTAAATGTATGCATATGGTCGGAATGTAAACAAATCTGAAGAGGGGACTTTAAAGGCCTCTGGGGCAGAGCCCCAAGGGAATTTACCTTGTTTCTCTTTTGATGGCTCATCTACAGACTAAGACCTTCTTTAGAGACTCCTACCAAGTTTTTACGCCCAGCCGTTCTCTGTAATTAGCTGTGACAAAACCCCGTTTTTCCTCCATAAGAATAACATTGGATGGGAATTTAAAGGCCACTGGGGCAGAGCCCCAAGGGAATTTACCACGTTTCTCTTTTGATGGCTCATCTACAGACCAAGACCTTTCTTTAGAGACCCCTACCGAGTTTCTACACCCAGCCGTTCTCTCAAATTAGCTGTCACAAAGAAAAACAGTTTCAAATTAATATATAGATAGTACAAAAAATTTGGATAAAATCAAATTGTGTTAATATTTCACCAAATCATTTAATAAAAATTTGACTAATTTAGATAATACTAACCAAACAATAGTCTGACTCAACTTGATACGCAAGTAGTCAATCTGATACTTGACTTCACAGAAAAATCTACTACTCACCCACCCTCTAAAAAGTCTGTTAAAATATCATCACTGTCCTTTTTTCCTAATTACACTAATCCATCCAAAACTCCACTCAGTGATGGGGGTTCAAGTATTAAATTATCATTAGGACTTTCATAAATTTGAGTAATTCGTATTTTTGCAGGTCCGCCCAGAGGAAACTTTGAAACTTCTCCTACCTCACTTTTGCCAGATTATTTTAGCATATGGAGATCATGAGGATATCAAACAAGAAGAGAACTTGGATAATGAGCTACTTTACAATCTGCTCTTACTATCTGAGGTACATAGTTGTATACTTTGTTGGTATTTAGTTTTGAAATATGAAAACAGTGTGTTTATTGAATGGTACTTGTATGAGAGTTTTGCATCGGAATTAATTTTCAAGAACCATGTAGAAACAAAAATACTCCTGCCGCAGCAAACCTGCAGATCGGATATTGGGCTGGATTCGGTTTTGATGGATCCAATTTTGTTTCAACAAACAAAAGAATTTTAAATGGAAGAGGCCGATTTCAAGGCATATACTGTGACATTGCCTAGCCATATAAATTATTGACATCAACATATATTGTGGCATTGTGACGACATATATATTGTCACGTACCCCTCGACCAAAGGGGTAGCAACGGGGGGGGGGGGGGGGTCGTAGCTCAGAAAATAAAGACCAAAGAAATAACTTACCACAATACTTTTATTTTCCCAACTTTGGCGCTCGTCCTCCTCTGATTATCCCTAATTACAAACTATGACTGACCTCAACTACGCGACAATAATACTTCCTCTTCATGACGCCTTGCCCGTCCCGTCTCTCTTACTCTCCTCTCCTCAGGGGTTGATGTCATCACTCCAACTCAGGGTACCTTCCCATGTCGACCTCCTCGGTTCTGCGTCCCGCGCTCGTCACGTCTTCCGTTCACGCCACAGCTACACTCTCTCTCCGACGTCTAGTCCCCTACTCCTTGCTCCCGACTCACTGACTCGACCGTCCGTCTCTGACACTGCGCTCCGACCGACTCACTGCCTCTGGCGCTAACACAGAGCTGCCCCCTCTTCATACACGGGGAACAGGATGCCACGGTCAGGGAATTATGATGAGTAATTAGTCCCGACGATGGGAAAATGGGACCCATCGTCACAATATGACATTATCGGTATCCATATACGTGACTATCTGTATCCACTAGTGGTGGGCGGATCCAAGAAAATGTCTGTACCGGATCCGGATCCGGATCTTGAAAAATTCGGATCCGCATCTTCGGATCTTCGGATCCGGATCCAGATACACACTGTCATAAGGGCGGGTAAAAAAACATAATTAACAGAATGCCAATTTAAATCATACTGTTTAAAATTAAATTGGTAATGTTTAAAGATTAATACATCTTATATACAGAGTAATCTCCAGTTGAGCTCATAATCCCTCATTTTTCAAAATCATAAAATGAAACTTTGTCCTAAGTTTGCACGACCACCAAAAGGGTATCTGTGTATATTTTACTATAGTTCGATCTTGAGTATGCTATAACGTGGTTATTGCATGCAGCATCCAATTTATTTATGCGTGAATCACCTCTTGTTAATCTCTTCCTTAAATTCGTTCCAGGTCCACAGTACTGATAGACGGGTATGTGAAGTTCTACAGGTAAAATACCCGGTGTCTATTGTACAAGAAGACTGTACTGTGTTCTAACTTAGAAAAATATTAGATGGGGGAGTCTTGACTTTTTTATTCACTCTGTATGGACACAGATAATCTTCTTGTACACAGACAAAGGGTATTTTACCTGTAGAGTTTCACATACCCGGAGATCAGTACTGTGGACCTGGAACGAATAACATAGATATATAAGCAAGGGGTGATCCAGGCATACAAGACCGATGTTTTCCCGATTTTATTACTAACACAAAGCTGTCTGTATCTATGTACAAGACCGATTAACCGGATAACACGATGGTAAAAATTATTACCGGTTTAAACATTACTACCGGTTATTATTACCGGTTTGGTAAACATTATTCCCGGTGGAAGTGCATTTGCCCAGCTATCATTACTGTGGACCTGGAACAAAATTCGGTGGTAAAAATTATTACCGGTGGAAGATGCATATGCCCGCCTATCATTACTGTGGACCAGGAACAAAATTCGGCGGTAAAAAATATTACCGGTTGAAGTGCATATGCCCGGCTATCATAACTGTGGACCTGGAACTAAATTCGGCAGTAAACATTATCACCGGTTGAAGTGCATATGCCCGGCTATCATTACTGTAGACCTGGAACAAAATTCGACGGTAAAAATTATTACCAGTTGAAGTGCATATGCCCGGTTATAATTTCTGTGGACCTGAAACAAAATTCGGCGGTAAAAATTATTACCGGTTGAAGTGCATATGTGCGGTTATAATTACTGTGGACCAGGAACAAAATTCGGCAGTAAAAAATATTACCGGTGGAAGTGCATATGCCCAGCTATCATTACTGTAGACTTGGAACTAAGTTCGGTGGTAACAATTGGTAACAATTGATAACAAGTCGTCTGCTGTTGGTAAAAAGTGCAAGTCTATGTGTATATTGCTCCACATTTAAAAGTGAGTTTTTGAGGAAATACATAAGCTACAACCAAAGTTGTGAGTTATAATAATGAACTTAAATATTTTTAACAAAATGAGACATTAATTTTTATTCACGGTGACAAGATAATATTTAAATTATAATTCTAAACTTTACTTACAGGTAGGAGAGTCCTCAAAAGTGCTTGATTTTTGGTTAGTCTATTTATAAACACAGAAATCTAGTAGTAATACTCAAACAAAATATGGGATTTTTAAAACATAAAAGCATAATATAAATTTTGTATTATTAAAGTATATTACTCTATTTAACAAACAAACACAGCACTATTTTATTGGATCACTTCAGTTTTCCCTGAAAATTCATGCACCAGAGTGACAAGGATAATCCTGCAACTTAACCAGCTGGAAGTGACGTCACTCATATTTGAACTGGGTGTCCTGTAACTGGAGTTTGACCCTGATTAGATGATAACTGAGCTGAAGGTAGGCACCGAGTGTTCATAAACAACAACATTGGTGTTTTCCTTGTTATCTATTGGCACAGTGATAAGCCTGTAAACAGTCCCCTTGCTCCATATGAAATATAAATAAATAAATAAAATTATGAATATCCCAAGTGGGTGGAAGCGACAGGAGGTGGTGAGAAAGAAAGGTTTAAATGCTGGAAAGGTAGATATTTATAGGGAATGTTGCTGAAAGTCAACAGTCCCGGAAGATCAAATAATTTATACCTGTGCCGCTAGGTCAAAAACTACAATGTTTGCAGTGTCTGTAGATCAAAAGTCCCAGTAAGTCAAATAGTACAGTCCGAGCTAAAAACGTGGTCTATGTTAAAGCAATTGACTTATTGGGAATTTGACCTAATGCAACAGCAGTTTTAATATAACGAAATACGGTAAAATACAAGTTCAGTTTCGCTGAGTCAACAGTGCCGGAAGATCAAAAGCAATAAAAGTGAACGTCGATTCAGTGTAAAGTAGACCTCCTGCAACGCTTACTACACCAACAAAACTTGCTTTTAGTTACTTCGTGTTTTGTCATAATTAGAATAGAGCTAAAATTATCATATTTGGTACATAGCTTATCTATTAATGCTTCTTGCCAACTGTTTGGTCAACACTGTAAATAGGTATAGTTTATGTAATGAAAAGCCTTTCGTCAAAATTTGTGGCATAAAATACACGCAAGGACGATCTAAAAATTTCTGGTTATTATATACGTTTGTAAAAGGAGATCCATTTAATTTTGGAACTATTTTATAAGTTATAATGTAGTCTACACATAAACTGTGTAAATGTATTACGCCTCGGAAGGGTTGAAACCTGTCCAAACTATCATATATATTATTAAAACGTAAATATGGTTTTTTCACATTCTGAATCAACCAGTCGACGGATTTTCATTATTTTTGTGTTGAAAGAAAGATAATTTTGAGAACTAGGGAATGTCAAAGCCATAATTATAACTAAGGGTCCCAGTTTTTTAGAAATTAAGTTTCAATTTTTAAAAAGTCTAGCAGCCGACGCTTACCTTCTAAGCTAGATTTTAGTACAATATAATTTGCTTAACATAACAGCTGTAAACATTCAGCATTTGGAAACAAATTTAAAGACATATTTAGAGTTGACATATTTATACTATGTGTAATGCTGACCATTGATCCATTCAATTCTTAGGTATGAGGATGGCAGATTAATTAAATATGCATAGTAAAATTGTAGGATGTTCAAATTATTTTTAAAGGAATCTTTATAATCATTGATTTGTTTTAGTCCCATATAATTTGTTTTAACTAACAGCTGGTTGAATGTAATATTGTTCTATATAACTATTACGTTTTTGGCGAATATCCCATATAGGGAATAAGCTATTACCGTAGTACTTATGGTAACACCTGGACCCGCGGGACCGATTTAATTTTTCGTTTTGAGGTCCCTAGAGGCCAAAAACACCATCCGTTCAAATTCATATATACAGGGTGATCAACTCACGGAGTCCACCATTGGGAAATCGGAAACGGTAAGAATTAGAGAAAACTTTAAATGGGGCACATACCTTTAATTTTTGTGGCAGTTAAAATATGATTTTAGTTTTTTATCATGTTTTCGGATAGAATATGCAATTTAAAAACTTTGTTAGCTTTGACATTTTTTTGATAAACCCACTCGTTTAGGATTACAGCCTATGGAAAAATGACTTCCGGTTAACATTTTACATCATGTAGCTCCTAAACGAGTAAGTTTAGAGCAAAATTGCAAAAAGTAAATCAGTCTTAGAATTGCATCTACATTCCTTTAAGACTATAAAATAAAAAGTTTTCCACTTTTCAAGTTTGCCGCCATTTTTTTAAATAATATAATTCATATTTTTAATGAATTTTATGGTCTTTTTGGAATGTGGATGCAATTGTAAGACTTTTTTACTCTTCCCATTTTTGCTATAAACTTACTTGTTTAGGAGCTACATGATGTAAAATGTACACCGGAAGTCATTTTTCCATAGGCTATAACTCCTAAACGAGTCGGTTTATCGAAAAAATGTCAATTATAAAAAAGTTTTTAAATTGCATATTCTATCCGAAAACATGATAAAATATAGGGTGTTCCATAAGAAATTTCAAATTTGGCCGCCATTTTGGAAAATGGCGGCTGAATTTCAAAAAACTAAAATCATATTTTTAACTGCCACAAGAAATAAAGGAATGTCC